ATTCCTTCCAAACGATTTTTTTTTTCCTAAAGCGATACCAGCTGGAATGTTTGTTTAATTGATTAAAGATGGCAAAATATATATATATATATATATATATATATATATATATATATATATATATATATCATTGTTCATATAAAACTTTTTATTTGTATTATTTATATATTCTCATTGAGTACCATATTGTTTGATTCTTTTTGCATTATAAATTTGAAAAACAATGATACTAAATTTTGTTGAGTTTCAAGTCTTACAAATGATATAAATTTATTAAATATTGTAAGATAATTGAGTTTTTTGTATTCTTGAAACGATATACAATATATATTTGATCTATTACATCATATGTAGTTAAATGCTCATGTTGATCTGAATGAATCATTCTTTTCAAGTTATATTTAATATGAGTTTTGCACATATTGAGACTCTATATAATTTAAATTTTTTTATTGAGACTCTAAGTTTTTTTTTTAATCAATTTAAGAATTCTACTTTTATTTTGTTTTATTATTATTTAAGACTTTAATGTGCCACGTAAACACACGTGGTAAGCTTTAATCAATGATAGCTTATCACATGTTATTGTTGGCTTAAATTGGATAATTGAATTGGTGACATGACAAGCTATCATTAGCTAGAGCTTGCCATATAAGTATGACTAGGGTTTGAAAAAACAATATAACAATAAAATTCTTAAATTAAATAGAAAAAAATTTAAAATCTCAACAAAAAAAATTCAAATTATATAAAGTCTTGATTATATAAAACCTTATTTAATATTCAAAGTTGGCTTCGATTTGATTCCCTAATGAACTGCTAGTACTAATCTTACATTTTTTCTCTCTAGACCGAGAAGGATGCAAAATTACTGCTCGTTTCAAAATAACAATTTAATTTTGTAATTCAAAACAGTCATCTAAAAATAATAATAAAGCTATTTTAATATTTTTAAATTTCGTGATCTTTCGAAATGGCCAACAGTCATATTATTTCTAATGGATACGTATTGTTTTTCAAGTTTGATTTTCACAATTATCTAGAATCATTACTCAATCAGTGTGTTATGAACATGCAAATATCACCCGGGAATATATATACTCCACGACAATGATATTGATGATGGCAAATTAGTGAATGACAATGCCGATACCCGACAGAGTAATATCTACTGATCCAATTGATTTCATGCCAAACTCTCATTGACGTATAAATAGAGGCTGAGAGCTAGATTTACATTTCAGCCTTGCATCGGAACATATTGCCCCATTTTAAAATAATTAAAGAAAGGAATTGAAGAGCGGTCCTTCATGAAGATAAGAGTCTTGTTTGGTAGCCAAGGATGACTTGCCGGTAGCCTCTCCCTCGGGTTCTTGAACACGAGCATCTCTGTAATGCTCAAAAGACAACGAGAGAAAATCTTAATTAGCTTGAATTAAAACAGTTAATCCATATATTTATGAACGAAGGTATAGCAAAACAGGTAAGTTAGCTAGAATCCACATGTGGTTATTACAGCAAGTGTCCTTGGCTAACGAGACAGGTTCTTATCTTTCATGCTGGACCTACTCTTCGTGTGTTCTGCTGGGCGAGTTCTGATCTGAACTTCCAAGAGGTATATGAGTGCTCTGCTATTTATTTGATAAGTTCCCATTAAAAACTAGAACCATTTATAGCTCCTCTTTGTTCTCTTACTGAGGCTACTATGACAGTAATATTATAGGTTCTTTCGTCATCGCATGATCAAGTGCTCTAATGTGCGCTATATTGATGCATCCGCACCTATACATGCATGAATGAAGCTTCATAGGCATACTTACATACAGTAGAATTTACAATCTCTTTTTCATGACGTATACTGTGCAGCTAGCTAGCTCTGCTGTAATGCAAGGTCATCATAGAACATAGCGAGCTGTTATATATTCAATGTTCTTATCAGCCATCCGTTTTTCTTTTCTTTCTTTTCGTCAAGGTAAGCTTAGCCCGTTCTCTAGTTTGAGGAATTGACCATATTACCGAGAAATTGAGTATTTTAAAATTTCTCATAATACCAGAATATTGTTATTGGGGCAATTTTTTTTTCCGATACATCGGTAGCCCATGAACCTTGTAATGATCAGTAAGAGCAAATCATTTTATGTACATGGAACCTCTAATGAGTCATTACCAGAAGTTAAAACATTTCATCGTTATAGGATAAGGAAATCAAGTCCGTCGATGGCATAGAAAACAATCATATTCTATGTAGGGTTTTCCAGTCCGTCTTAGTTTTTTAAATGGGTTGGCTTACAACTAATATAAATACATTAGGGCCTGACTTATGATTTGTGCGTTGAGAAAAACAAGAAAGTACCCCTGTTATTGCTTAAAAAAACAAAAAAACAAAACAAAACAAAACAAAGAGTGATCTGTCGGTGGGATATGGTAATTAAGTTGTATCTGGCAAGGTTGATGCATACGTGAAGCATGTGTGTGTGTATTAATAATTAGGTGTGTGTGTGTGTAGAGGTTACGTGTGACACACCTGGCTGCAATTTGCAGGAACTGTACGTCATAGCTCATTTCTGCGAGTTAAAAATAAATTATCAATGTTTTGTGTTCAATAATGTTGTGAAGTCGCATTCAAAGGGCATAGTGTTCTCTAGAGCCAAAGTGGATTCTTGCTTATCTTGAAGTGATAACATTTAGTCTTTGGAGTCTGCTGGATTCTCGATCTTGGTTGTTGGCGATCTTGATCCTTCAGTACTTTTGGACTTTTGGTGGGCTTCTTTCTTAGAAATACTGCTTCGCTTCCTCTTTATTGCTGACCAAGATGGTTAACTATATTCTTTGTATTGTAGGCTTGTAGCCCAGTTCTTGTCATATTCTGAGGGGGTGTTAATTAAGAAAAACCTACTATATGAATATACGAACTGCATGCATCAGACTTGTGAACCTTAGTTAGACAAAACAGAATGGAAGTTGATTTTCAGGTTTCACACACACAAACGTAGACACACAGACACACACAATAGTATATGTATACTTATTTTTCTTCTTTATAAACCTTTTGATCCATATATATATATTACAAAAACCTTTTGATATTAAATTGCAGTGTTAGAAATAGACAAATTTTTTTTTCTATATGTTTCTTCCAGTTCTATTTAATAAATTTGGTGCATTAAGTTTGTATCATGTTATACGTTAAAAAAAAAAAAAACTGTCTACCTAATGTTTAGTTACAAGGTACGTACTAATAAAATAAATAAAAAGAAAAGTACAAATAAATTTTTATGTTGAGTGGTTAATTTTTTTACATGGTAAGTTGTTACGAATTTGAATTACACCAATCTATTATCTTTTAATCAAAATTAAATCAGCATAAGTTGGTATGAGTTTGTATATGTTTCGAATCTAACAAAAAGTTTTTCACTTGAAAAATGTATTTAAAAAGTTGATATAAGATCATTTCAGTGTTCATATGATAATTTAAGTTTTTAGTTAAAATGATTCTTTCATCTTAATTCATATGATTTTTTTTTTTTAAAGAAAAAAGTGTAAACCACCCCATTATGCTAATTATAGTTAGACTTAATCTTTTCAAAAACAAAATTTAGAAATATAAAGAATTATATTTTCCATTTTCATAGTTATAATTCCATTTGAGTTGACTTAAGATTTACAATAATGGTAGAATAATAATAATAATAATAATAATAATAATAATAATAATATAATCATAAATTGTTTTTGTGGTGATGATGTTCCAAAATCATTTAGAAGAAAATAAATCACTAAAATACTTCCTCTTAATGAAAGGATGATTACCTTTGATAAAAATAAATAAATAAATAATCCATTAATTTAATTAAAAATATCGATACGATGTGAAAAATATAAATAAAAATTAATATCAATTTGTGAACATAGCATCTTTTCTACTCCAGCTAGCTAGCTAGGGTTATAGAGTGGCTCGTTGGCAAGATCGCGCGTTGCCTCTCCCTACAACACAAATGTGCTTGTTCTCCCTTTAGCTTCAGCTTTCCTTTTTCTTTTCTTCACCCTCCCCCTCTCAACGAGCGTCCTCTTCTTTATCTATTCTTCATGTATGGTCTTTCTTGGACCACAATACATCCTGTTCAGTGGTTGATCTCCTTTTCGTGGACTCGCTGATTGCACCTCTATTTTCCTTTTTCTAAAAAAAAGAAACAAAATTGTTTAGCTCCTTATACTTACATCTTTATTTCTTCTCTATTTTATCGAACTCTTAGGTTCTATTTGGGCTCCATTACCAACTTGCCGAGACTGAAATCTAAACTTAGGCTCTAACAATAGACGTTAAATTCTAGTCATCGGCCTATTGCTTATGGTCTTAGGCTTTAACTATTGCTAGGGACCGATTACTTATGATTAAGGTTGACTAATTGATATTATAGCCCTCTAGTCATATCTTACGCTTATTACTTCATTCTTTTTTCATGTCATACATTTCTCTCCCAACAAAGTCACTAACACCACAAGCCGCAAAAACTCTCTAGGAATATTTGGTTTGGCATTTTACTATATTTTCAGAGTCAAAGGACAATATGCAAATGGATTTATAAGTGATCGGAGGTACAAAATTTCTTGTTAAACGAGATCTGGTTCAGACTTTACCCAGAAGTTAAGAAGTCCTACTTAAATAGGTTGTTTATGCATATTGCCAAGAAGAGATCGTTTTGATCAGAAGACATTTTGAGTATTTATGTGGCTCAGCTCATAATTTGTGTCAAAGTGAAAGAGGACCCAAGCTGAAATAATAGCTTTTTTAGAACAGCAATAACTTAAAGCATGCGCTGTACTGTATGGAAAACACTGCAAGTTTTCTACTATTTCAGGCATATATGTATGCAACAGCAATCCCTTTTTACATCTTCCACATACAAGAGGTACTGAAACAGTCTCTAATATGCAAAATAACATACACAGGTTAAACAAAGAATTCGGCGAGGCAAGATATAAATAACAAACAAACATTATCATGCAGGCAAGGCGAAACTCTCCTGTGTCCAGTGGGGAGGATCCATCACTGCACAAGGATCTGATTTCTCAAAGTCAGCAACCTACAGCAAACCAGAGTACACAACAGTTATAATGCTAGTAGCATTCTGATCATAATATAACAGAAGAGAGAAGCCTGAGAAAATCGGAAAAGAAAAAAAATGACATGCATGAATAGTCTTACCTTTTCTTTGCAGCTTGGGCAGTAGTGATACTTGTGCCAGAGGCAATCCATAGAAGGGCAAAGAAAGCAACATCCAAGCATCAAAGGCATCATGCAACCAACAAAAGCTGCCAAACTAGGCTTTGATCTGTGTTGTACATGACATGTCATTATTCATGGGAGGGGGATCAGCCCATAAAGGAAAAGGAGAGAACATAAAGAGTCTGTAAACTTCAAAAAACTATTGTGACAGTTAGATGATAGTTTGGCCCTTTCCTGTTTGTACAGTCCTACTCTTCAACAGAGGTGAAAAGCAAAACTCTATTCAAACAGAAAAGCAATACATAAAAATCTTATTAACTGAAGTGGCAAGTAATGAAAGGTGTTACACAAATGATTTATAAATCATTTCACTCAGAGTCTGTTTGGTATGACTTGTGAAAATAGCTTAGAGTTATTTTTCATAAATAAATTATGACAAAAATGAATTAAGTTAAGAGCATGTTTGGCAAAAAAAAAAAAAAAAAAAGACTCAAAACAACATTTTTTTTTTTAATAAGAAAAGTAGTATAAGCTAGAATCAATAAGTTATAATATAAAATTTTTTAGCTTTTGATTAAAGCGAAATTCTAACTTTAATGTCGTAAACCTTTTGATTTAAATCAAAAGTTATTCTTAACTAAACATGTTTATAACTTTTCTTTGAGCCAAAAGTTAAAAAACAACTTAAATCAATTAGCAAAAGTCATACTAAACATAACCTGAATGCTACTTTTATGTATGGCTTTTCTGTTTGTACCGACAAAATAACATATTACAGAGTTACTCTATCAGCTCTCACTCCCTTTATTCCAGAGCACGAATTCAGAAATCAAAGGATGAGACAATGCCAACAAAAATAATTCCCTAAAGCCATACCAATAAAGGCGATGGGTTATAACAGTTTTACTAATCTGGATTTGATACCGCATTTTGTGAATGGAAAAGGAAAATCATCTTTCATTATTTAGCTGATTACCCAACAGATGTAAAATTGTCAACCAAAAAAAGATCGCAAAATGCCATAAAACACATTGAAGATCATTGCCATCATTCACACAGAGAAGGGTTTCCATTTCCATTGCATTATATATCCACAATAGCTGAGAAAAGCAGGTTGAAATAACCAACTAATTAGAAAAAAACAGTTCATTTTGTTCCGGAAATTATAGCCTCTAAGACAGGAAAGCCAGCTCAAATAACTTCACCATGATCCTGGAATTAAACTTTTTGCAATAAATTGTACAACTAATAGCAGCTCAATTTTGCGTAAGTAATTAATTACTACTATAATTTTCATCATGGAGATACTGACACACAAGAAATTAAAAACCTAAGAAGACAGGAGAGAATTCAGAAAAATGGAAGATAGATTTTAATTACCTAACGACGGTAACGCCGGAATTACCACAGTAAACGCAGTTAAAAGGAGCAGGAGTGTCGCGATACATAGTCTGTTGAATTGGGATTCCCTTTGGATCGCCGACGATTGCGGTTGGCGGTATAGCTCCGGCTTGGTGCGGGTTCTGCCCGGCGTAGTAAGGAACTCCGATGACAGGTTCGTCATTTTGGCCCATTTCGAATGGATTCCTAATCTGATTAGAGATCGATCAAGAAGGATTTTTGTTTTCCAATGAACAAGAGGAATTTTGTGTTTTAAGACTTTACAGAGGAAGTTTGTGTCGTTGAAAGCAAAGCTGTAACCCCAGTCCGCAATCAGCATTGCTTATTATTTCAACAACAATTGCTAGGAACCTTCCTTTTTGACCGGGAACACGCATGGGCTTCATTTTGTTGAACAAATTTGTCGGATTGACAAGTTGGACCGTTTCTTAATATGAAGTAAGCATGCGGCCTGGGCCTGTTATTTTTGAAACAAACTAGTTTTTTTTTTTTCTTCATGTTGCTGTCAAAGATGATAAACCAAATTAAAAGGAGAAAAAAATATTCCAAACGGCCTTGCATTACAAAATACTGTTTTTGTTTTGATTGGAAGGTAAAAGACATGTTTGAGTTAATTTGTATATCATTCAATGTTAATCTTTTCTGTAAAAAGATCTTTTCTTTTCATATCCACTTAATAATTTTTTTCAATGTTAATTTTTTTTTAAAAAAGAACTTTTCTTTTCATATCCACTTAATATTTTTATTTAAATACTAGTTCTAAAATTCCAATTCAGACAGTGAAAAAAGGGATTTTTTTTTCTTATTTTTAATCTTCAAATCAACCATTTAAGATTAAGATTAGAAAATACTGTAAAATTTCAACCTAAAACATTTTAGTAAAAATCTAAACCTTGAAAGCTAAGCTATCCTGATTATATGGCTATCAATATTATTTGTGTGAGCTTTATTTGATTTAGATTAGTTTGTATCAATTAAACAGCTTTATAAACTAAAGTAACTAAGATTTACTCTCGTGAACGAATAAACTTAACTAATTATGAGAATTCTATATTTTGTAGGAAAAAATAGTTTATTGTGGATTTTATTAATTTAGTTCCTAGCAATTTTGTCCTGCATCTTTTTATTTGTACTATTGTATCTCTCGGCATTGATTTTTAATTACCGTAGTGAATTCATATTTCAACACGAGGATGAGGTAATCCACTAAATTATGTATCAACCATTAATTAGTGAAAAATCGAGAATGATTGTCATGTTTGAAAATGAAATAAATTATAAAAACAATTCTAATTCTACCACATTACATCAGATCCTATCTCTAGTCCAACGTATCTAAAACCCCCTCGTAGAAAACCGAATGGACATACACGTGACATGCTTATCGTTGACCGGCGTAAGAGAATAATATCCCACGGAAAAAAAAAAAAAAAAAAGAAAGGAGAGGATTTAATGAGGATAAACCACCACAAGCTCTCTAATGTCTCTTTTCAAGGGGCCATCCAAGAAACTTCCGATCTGGAAGGTAGAAATTTCTCAAATTCCATGTACTTCTAGATGTGTAAATTGTATTATACAACTTCCGATCAGGAAAGTGGAAATTTCGTAAATCCGGGACACTTCTAGATGTTCATAAGATACGTGCCAAAAAAGTTGTTGTTGATCCCGTCCAACTTTTCACACATGCTTGAAGCCTGAAGCTCAGCCTTGGACGGAAGTTGCCAATATCAACTAATTATTTGATTCGCACCCAAAGCATGCGAGTTTAATTTGGATCCATCCTAATGGGCCTAAAACCCATGGTTTGCCAAGGAGTTCTATGCCATGGGCCAGGTAAGGCGCTTCAATCTAATACCCATCGGCTCAGCCGTTCCCAATGTCTCTGCTGCTAGACTCGTGCAATGCCTCAAGCGATGCAGGGAAAGCATCCATTTGCGTTGCAATCAACCATATGCAGTGTCGATTTCGAGCTAGGAGTCATCGTTCGTATATTTCGGATAGTTTTTGGTTAATTGAATTCGAAAAAAATAATAATTGAAGTCAAACTGGAATGTTATTGGCTTTTTTTATTTTGTTTCGAAATATTTCGATTTCGATAATTCAGTTTTTATTTGTTTTATTTTATTTTCTACAAATAGTTGATGTTATTAAATTTTCTGAAATCTATATTTAGAGTAGGTTTTTTTTGGACTAATAGTTAAAAAATTAAGTTACGCTAAAAAAAATAGTAAATACATTGGTAAATAACCAAATAACAAATTATTCACTCTAAAAGCTTTTAATTTGAGTCAATAAGAAATTATCAATTACCTTGTTATTTTATATACGTCCAAACTTATTGAAAAAACAAAAAAATCACGTACGAAACTCGTGAGAGGAAGTGTATCTATGCATGCATTCGAACATTGACCTAGAAGTTTTCAATTCATAACATTATAATACTTAACAATATAAAAATGACATTTATCAATTCAGACCATGTGAATTAAATGACCAAAGGATAAAGATTAATTTCAATTATTTTTTAAACATCATGGTTTTTTGGTTTAATCGATTTTTTTAAAAAAAAACCCAACCTGAAAATTAAAATTAATTATTTTTTTTTAATTTCTAAAAAAATATATATTGAAATTGATATTTCAATGAGATTCGATTTGGTTATTTGATTTTCACCAAATAGAAAACATTTTTTTTTTAACAGGTTTAAGAATAAAGTATATATTTGTCAAGAAAAACTGGATTAAAAAAAAAAAATCAGTTATGTGCTATGTGAATGAAAAAGTGTTCTAAAAAAGTTAGAAAAACGATACACGAAAAGACATGCATTTTTTGTAAAAAAATATATAGAAAAAAAAAAAAAGGAATATGAAGAATTTGTTCATTATACAACGATCAACAAACTGGAACAAAAGGCTGGTTTCCTTGCTGCACGCGCTAGGGATAGGATAACAGTTTGCTTCCGGTTGTTTGATAACGTAAAATTAACGAATATGCAATACAGCATTAGAAGTGCTAAAATTAAAAGGAAAAGATATATATATCGCCCTCCCACTTTAAGAAAATAGCTTATAAAAAGAGAAAAAATTAATCAAGTTATACAATCAAACAAAGCACATAAATTATAAAAAAGTTATCAACGGTAATTCCTGTTGAAGTTATCGACGGTCATCAATAAACCCTTTGTCTTTTACTCCTCAACACACAAGAAGCTTGTTTTTATAATTATTCAAAAATGACTTTTTAACTACAAATTTAGGTGCATCTCACAGAATGCCTTTTGTATGTAAACATTGACTAGTTACAGGTGACATAAAAACAGCGCCAACCACGTAACCAAAAAAGCACTAAGATGGATTACCGGTGGTTTTTACCCTCACGATCCATCTAACAATTTCCTAAATCCAGTCAATAGTCTATAGCTTTTTTCCACAATGATTTGTTGGACAAGCCGGGTAGCCATGACCTCTTTCACTTCGAGAGGAGTTTTTTTTTTTTTTTTTGATGCAAAGGAGAGAAGATTGTTTGGATAATAATAAATTAACCAAAAGAAAGAATTGCTAACTAGATTTTTTGGATATATAATGATAAATTAACATAAGAGAATTACCAATGTAAAGTAGTCAGGTCTATGCATGGTTTTAGTAGAGGAGCCAAGATATGAGGCTAAACGAGCCAATTAGCCCAAGTCTTTGTCAGTAGTCCACATCTATGAACTACACTATAAAGTTCATAATTGATAATTAATCTTTCCACGTCTAAAAACTATGATTTTAATTTGTATATATGTGTGTGAAGGAGTTCTATGGTGTTCTACCTCTAATAAAATTATCATAGTTTTGTTAATTATCAGATGATGACCGTTGAAACAAAAACAAAATTAATAATCTATATATTTTATATGGATTTATGCATAATATCTGAAAAATAATAAATTATACTATTTATCATTGCAATAAATATGATATATAGTACATCGAGTTATTGGTTATAGCAAAAAAGCTAAGTAAAAAAAAATGTCAGAATACTAAGTTTCTAGTTATCGATAAGAGTTTTATTGAAATTAGAAGTGTAAGTGAACCATTATATTAATGATTTCAATTTAGTGCGTATTTAGCTCATGGTTATTCAATTAATTTTAGAACATATATATTCTTAATTTCACTTTAACCTTTGATTGTTTTAATATTATAATCTAACCCCTAACCCCTAAATTCAACGATCAATTCCTGTGTAACAAGTACTAATTAACTCTAACGGCTGGAAAAAAAAATTCATAAATACAACTAAACAATTTTGCATCAATTACAAGAACAAACAAGACAACCTTAAGTATCACTGATTTTTAATGACACATGCTCAAATTATATCTCATATCCATGTATACTCAATTTCCCTCTAGGGAGCACTGAAGAAACTTTTTAAAAATTTACATGCTCATTTAGAGTGAAAAAAAAAAAAAAAAAAAAAAAAAAAAAGAGAAAAGAGGACCCGAAAAACTTTCCCCGCTATTGGACCACACAGCCATGGTAAAGGAAGAAGGCATAAGACAAACCTTGTAATTTCCTAAAATTTATATGTAAATCTATACATTAATTGTAACTTTATTTTTTGAATACATTCTTATAAAAAAATATAATTTTAAAATAGTTATTTTTGAACTCTTAATTAATATTTTATATTTAAATTATTATAAGTTTTTATTTAAGAATCCCTGAATAAAGAAAAATAAATTATATTTTTTAAGCATAAATTTATTAAAAAAAAAACATAAAAAATAGTAATAATTACATAAAAAATTAATGAAAAAATTATAACATTTTAAAATGATTTTGTTCTGTTTATTCGTAGCGTTGCACGAATAATTTCAAAATTAATCTTCTTATCGGTATTAAATAAGATTTTTTTTCATTTATTAATTTTTGTAAAAGTCTCGTCCATTAATTGTAACTTTATTTTTTGAAATAAAATATTATGAAAATTATATTTTTAATTTTTTAAAATTTTTTATTAATATTTTAGTTAAAATTATTACAATTTTTAATTTTAAAATCAATTCATAAAGAAGAATGATTTATATTTTTTTAATCATAAAATTTATTAAAAAAATATTTAAAAAATTAATTGAATAAAATATTATAATTAAAAAATTAAAAATTTTAAAATAATTTTATTCAATCAAATCTACGATGTAGTGCAGACAACCGATTAGTTTGTATTATTGTATCTCGGCATTGATTTTTAATTATAGTGGTGAATTCATATTTCAACACGAAGATTAAGTAATCCACTAAATTATATATCAACCATTAATTCGTGAACAATCGAGAATGATTGTCATGTTTGAAAATGAAATAAATTATATATGAAAAAAATTCTAATTCTACTAAATTACATCAGATCCTATCCCTAGTCCAAAGTATCTAAAATCCCCCTTTTAGAAAACCGATTGGACACGTAATATGCTTATCGTTGACTGAAGTAAGAGAATAATATCCCACGGGAAAAAAAGAAAGAAGAGGATTTAATGAGGACAAACCACCTCAAGCTCTCTTTTCAATGGGCAATCCAAGAAACTTCTGATCAGGAAGGTAGAAATTTCTCAAATTCCATGTACTTCCAGATTTGTAAATTGTATTATACAACTTCCGGCCAGGAAAGTAGAAATTTTGTAAATCCTTGGCCATTGGGTGTTGGTTCAATAATTCAGTTCGGTATTGAAAAATTTTGATTGGTTTTTGATTAATCGAATTATCTAAAAAAATAACGAAATCGAACCGAATTATTATTCGGTTTTTCGGTTCGGTTTCGAAATATATCGATTTTTTTATTCGGCAATTCTGTTTTCACATATAATTAATACTCAAGATATTTTTTATTTTCTTATATTTGTTTATGATAAAATATTTTATAATTAAATTGGTCAACGTAAAATATTATATGGTCAATGTTTAAATTTAGTTCATTTATTGAAGAACATTTTCAACTCTTGAAGTTTTATAAAATAAACGATAAATTAATCCCTCTAGTTTTGAGAAACAAATTTAGTCTCTATATTTTTATAATTTATTTTGATTTTTTGTTTTAAGAAATAAAAAAAAGTAAAAAAAAAATAAATTTTAGAAACAAGGAAGACGAACCGACGAAGAGGAACTTGTGATTTTAGGTTTGTGAATTCGGAAAGGAGTGAAATGATGTCGTTTCACTCATGAATTTTTTTAAAAAAATTTAATAATTCGGTTATTCGGTTAACCGATTTTTTTTTTAAAAAAGCCGAAACCAAAACCGAAATCGAAAATCGGTTATATATCGGTTCGATTTTTTTAAAAAAATTCTAAAAAAAAATCACATCAAAATTGATATTTCGATATGATTCGATTCGATTTTTTAATTTTATTGAATAGTAAACACCCTTACTTTCATCTATTTATAAGATATGTACCAAAAAAGAGGTAGTTGATCCCGTCCAACTTTTTCACACATGCTTGAAGCCTGAAGCTTAGCCTTGGACGGAAGTTGCCAGTATCAACTAATTATTTGATTCGCACCCAAAGCATGCGAGTATCCACCCAAATGGGCGTAAGACCCATGGTTTGCCAAGGAGTTCTATGCCATGGGCCAGGTAAGACGCTTCAATCTAATACCCATCGGCTCAGCTGTTCCCAATGTCTCTACTTGCTTGACTCGTGCAATGTCTCAAAAGATGCAAGGAGAGCATCCTTTGGCGTTGCAATCAACAATATTCAGCGTCGATTTTGAGCTAGGAGTTATCATTCATTTATTCGGTTGGATTTTAAAATATTTCAGATAATTTTTACTTAATCAGATTTTAAAAAAAAATCAAAATATTATTTGATTTTTTAGTTTGGTTTGAAAATATTTCGATTTCGATATTTAGAAATTTGATTTTTACTTATTTTATTTTCTACAAATGACTGATTCTATTAATTTTTTTGAGATCTATGTTTAGAATGAGTTTCTTTTCTATTTTGTGGACTATTAGTTAAAAAACTAAATTGCATTCAAAAAAATAACAAAAACATTAATAGATAAACAAATAATAAATTATTCACTCTAAAAGCTTTTAATTTAAGATGACAGGCAATTTATCAATGACTTTGCTATTTTATATATATCTAAATTTATAGTAGAGCCAGAGAGAGCACATATATAACTGTGGAAGGAAGTGCATCTGTGCATGCATTCGGACAATGACGTAAATGTCTTCAATTCATAACATTAACATACTTAACAATATAAATATAACATCTATTAATGCAGGACAATATGAATTAAATTACTAAAGGATACAGATTAACTCAAATTATTTTTTAAACATTATGATTTTTTTATTTAACTGATTTTTTAAAAAAACCCAAACCTCAAAATCAAAATTATTTCAATTCTTTTTAATTTTTTTTAAAATATGTTAAAATTAATATTTCAATGAGATTCGATTTGATTATTTAGTTTTCACAAATAGTAAACATTCTTATTTCGATCTGCAAAAAATAAGAGGTTTAAGAATAAAGTATACATGTGTGAAGAAAAAGTGGATAAAAAAATAAAATCAGTTACGTGCTATTTGAATGAAAAAAATGTTCTAAAAAAGTTAGAAAAACGATACACGAAAAGACATCCATTGTTTGTAAAAAACAAATGTGGAAAAAAAAAAAAGAATATGAAGAATTTGATCATTATACAACGACCAACAAAGTGGAACGAAAGGCTAGTTTCCTTCCTGCACGCGCTAGGGATTGGATAACCGTTTGCTTTCGGTTGTTTGATAACGTAAAATCAACGAATATGCCGTACAACATTAGAAGTGCTAAAATTAAAAGGAAAAGAAATCAATTGCTTGTGCATACGCATGACATATATATCCACACACACAAACACCGTCCGCCTCTCACTTTAAGAAAATAGCTTATAAAAAGAGAAAAAATTAATCAGGTTGTACAATCAAACAAAGCACATAAATTATAAAAAAGTTATCAACGTGTAATTCCTGTTGAAGTTATCAACGGTCATCAATAAAAAAAAAACCCTGTCTTTTACTCCTCAACACACAAGAAGCTTGTTTTTATAATTATTAAAAAATGACATAATAACTACAAATTTAGGTGCATCTCACAGGATGCCTTTTGTATGTAAACATTGACTAGTTACAGGTGACATAAAAACAGCTCCAACCACGTAACCAAAAAAACAATAAGATGGATTACCGGTTGTTTTTACCCTCACGATCCATCTAACAATTTCCCAAATCCAGTCAATAGTCTATAGCTTTTTTCCACAATGATTTGTTGGACAAGCCGGGTAGCCATGACCTCTTTCACTTCGAGAGGAGTTTTTTTTTTTTTTTTTTTGGTGCAAAGGAGAGAAGATTGTTTGGATAATAATAAATTAACCAAAAGAGAGAATTACTAACTAGATTTTTTGGATATATAATGATAAATTAACATAAGAGAATTACTATGTAAAGTAGTCAGGTCTTATGGTTTTAGTAGAGGAGCCAAGATATGAAGCTTAAGGAGCCAATTAGCCCAAGTCGTTGCCAATAGTCCACATCTATGAACTACACTATAAAGTTCATAATTGATAAGTAATCTTTCCACGTCTAAAAACTATGATTTTTATTTGGGTATATGTGTGTGAAGGAGTTATGTGGTGTTCTACCTCTAATAAAATCATCATAGTTTTGTCAATTATAAGATGATGACCGTTAAAACAAAAACCATATTAATAATCTATATATTTTATATGGATTTATGCATAATATCTGAAAAATAATAAATTATACTATTTATCATTGCAATATATGAAATATATAATTCATTGAGTTATTGGTTATAGTAAGAAAGCTAAGTTGAAAAAAAAAAAACTTGTCAAAATATTAATCCTCTAGTTACTAATAAGAGTTTTATTGAAGTTAGAAGTGTAAGCGAACCATTATATTAATGATTTCAATTTAGCGCGTATTTAGCTCATGGTTATTCAATTAATTTTAGAACATATATATTCTTAATTTCACTTTAACCTTTGATTGTTTTACTATTATAATCTAACCCCTAACCCCTAAATTCAACGATCAATCCCTGTGTAACAAGTGCTAACTCTAACGGCTGGAAAAAAAAAAATACAACTAAACAATTTTGCATCAATTACAAGAACAAAAAAGACAACCTCAAGTATCACTGATTTTTAATGACACATGCTCAAATTATACCTCATATCCATATATACTAAATTTCCCTCTAGGGAGCATTGAAGAAACTTTTTAAAAAATTGACATGCTCATTTAGAGTGAAAAAAAGAGGACCCGAAAAACTTTCCCCACTATTGGACCACACAGCCATGGTAAAGGGAGGAGGCATGCGACAAATTTGTAAATTCGTACATGATTTACATAAAACAAGTTACTAAGCAAAAAATGGAAATATGTCAAGAATCACATGTAGCTCGCGGAATTCAATTATATCATGCAAGAAGCTGTGGCGCCACAGGCATTAATTTTTACCAAGAAGCAAATACTTTGTTAATGCTTTGGCAGAGAGCAAGGAGCTGGCACGCTGAGGCCACTAAGGGATGTTCCCTTCATGCGCAATGTTAAACCTCATCTCGTAATGTGCAAAGAATGAATAGGGAAACTCGAAACACCCACTCCAATGTGCAGTTGTTAGTACTACTAGTCAACATTTTTTTTTTTTTAAAAAAAAACCATAGTTTAACATTAATTAAACTTTACTATACGTATCAAAATTTACCTCAAAGAAATAAAATTTGAAGTTGGTATGATGGGTGACACACATTTCTCAAATAATACACCAGACAGTGATATATCCCAAGGACTCCAGCTGGTGAAGCCAGAACCAGAAGGGAATATTAGTGCAGACTGCACACACACACACAGAGAAAGAAAGAGGGAAAGGGAGAGAGGGAATGGTGTCAGGGCTGACAAGAGTTCAGAATAGATTCCACACCAGGAAAAAAACTGATCCATATTGTGGCCTATAGTAGTATTCCAAAGGTGAGGGTCCCAATTTACCCATCTCGTGAAGTTCTACGTGTATATATAGGAGTACATAACTTGACGAGAACCATATTCTTGCAGTTAAAATACGAACAATAAACACGAATAATATATATATATATATATTGAAACAGAGAGGCGGCTGGCCCAATACATTCGGCCTGCCGACTCTTATTTGTATGGTCGTCCGTTTCTCCTTGTCTAGTACTTCCACTGTTACTCCCTCTTGAATAATTTGTGATCAAGATCATTGCAGAATCAAAGTTTAAGGACCTTCACTTTCAAGTTTCAAGTCTCTATCCTTCAGATTTAAGAGTTCACGCTAATATAAACAAAAGGGGGTTTGGCCTCTTATGATGTATCATCAGCACTCACGTTTCTCTCAAGGTATGGCGTCCAATCTAAAGGGTTCTGTGGTCCTCGATCATATATAATTACGAAAATAAAAGAAAATTATATTAAAAAAACATTTTTATTGTGAGGATTTTCCTACATGTAAATCATGAGAAAAATTAGATAATTTTTTGGTCGGTCGATTTAATTTGAAATGTTACTTATATATATTTATATGATGCTAAAAATGAGAAAGATACTACTTTAACGCAAAGCAAACACCCCTGGTTTTGCAAGTTTATGATCCAAAATTGATTTTTTTTTCAAACTCAATAATCTTGTGATAATGTTTGTGCATTTTTTTAATATGCTACTGTCTTATTATATTAGGGTTAAAAATTTAAAATTCAATTGCAGATCTGACAAAAGGAGAGTTAAATAATTAAGCTTTACTATTAGCTAGCTGGCTAGGTAAACCTCGTTTACGGCTCTAGATCATGGATCTATCAATTAATTAATGATAACCTATCATTCTATTTAACAATACGATCAACTTTCTAATAAATAAATAATTTAGTTAAGATGAGAAAAAAATAATTTTGTCTCTTAATAGAATAATAATAAATTCTAGCCTTGGAGTTGCATGTAATTAGTGTGTTCTCGTCATATGTCCATCTTCTAAAACTTAATTTATTACCGTAATATTCTACTAGTTATGTTTTGATCTATGTCCACAACTGATGATAGACGCATGGGAGTTTATATGAAGGAAGAATGCTTTGCATCTTTATCATGTATCCCAATTACGGAGCCCATTCTGAGGAACAAATTAAAGGCAGTACTGATGAACAATACGTATAACCAATTCTCTTTAAGTTATTCATTAAAAAAGAAAAAGAAAAAGGCAAATCGTTGAATTATTAGCTGACAATGATAACATAATTAAAAAAAAAAAAAAACATACAAAGTAGCTTTTCGATTGAAAGCTGTTCGAATGACGAGGATGGGCAGCCACATAGAAAATAAAGAATTTTCTTGTTGCTCAACCTGGTCTAATTTTTGAATTGTTATGGCACTGCTTTTTTTCATTTTTCACACTATTCTTTTTGGTTACCGTGTACTATAATAACTATTTTGAAGTATCACCTAACAACTTAATTTTATAAATTAAAAAGATTATTTACTATAGTATCGGATATTTATTGACCAAACGATTAAAAGTTTGAATCTCTAATTAAAATTAAGATTAATTAAAAAAATTCTAAAAATTCATCTAATAATTTAAATTTTTAAATTGAATTGATTTTTTTAACTTATTTGTACAAGTTTTAAGACCAAAGAGTTTTTAATTGAGGGAATGTGTTAGAGAATAAAATGACAAAGAATTATCTCAATTCAAAAATTTAACTATTGAGCGAGGTTTTAAGTAGGGCTATCAACAGGTTGATGCAAAATACATCATAGTAGATTTAGGTATGATTTATTTAATAAAATTAATTGAATTAAATTTTGTGAATTCATATTACATTTTAAAAACGTCAATCCAAACTGAATTTTGAGTTCTATCGGATTTATCATTTAGTTTTTATAAAAAATTTGTGTTTACTGTATTTAATATATTGCTTCAATGTAAAATATATTTCAATCACTATATGTATAAAAAAATATATTACAATTATATTTCATGTATCAATTTTGTAAAAAAATTCAAAATACCACACAATTCAAAAACAAAAAAAATAAAATATTTTTAATAAAAAATTATCTTGAATTAGGCAGAAAGTACGATAAATAAATAAATAAATAGTCTTTTTTTTTTTTGCGTGTTAGCAAAATAAATATTTTTTGATTCGAATTTTAAGATGATAGTGCTGCAAGTCAAAGCATGTAAATAAAAAAGAAGAAGAAGAAGAAAATCTATTGATATTCTCATATATTTGTAACAAATTATTTCACAAAAGTTTATAAGTACAAGTTATTTTATTAATATTAATAATATCACATAACTAAATAAGTAGATTAAGTTGGTCAAGATAATTGTATAATTTTTGTTTCTCCACTAGATGAACCATGTTACAAACTAACTAAGAATTCTTTAATTTACAGTTTCAATTCTGAAATTTCAAGCAAAGGAAAAAAAGAAAAAAAAAAAGGGAAGGAAAGAGTGATTATTGAAGCGCTCCAAATGCAATAAAGATTGCAAAAGGAGAATGACAAAACGCATGAGAAAAGGTATATAAATCAAACGCTTAAAAAATTGAATTGAAGAGATAAGAAACACAACTACAATAACATCAACCCCTAAAAAGTTTTTATTATATATATATATATATATATATATATATATATATATATATATATCTTATTTAAAATTTTAATATTTTTAAAACATTATATTTATTAAAAATAATAATATTTTTTAATTTTAAATAGGGTTATTATCGAAACGAATTAAGATAAATTTATATTTGATATGTTTACTAAATGAGTTAATAAAATTTGATCATAATTGAAGTCGGATCATAAAAATTATTTATCAAATCTATTTAACTACATCGAATTTGGATAAAAAATGATTTAGTGACAATCTTAATTTCATAATATTAGTTATATTATTTTTTAACATACTATTTCAAATATTAGCAACATTTTTTTTCTGATAAATTATTTCTTAAAAAAAAAAAAGTCGTATTTGGTTCTTTGGAGTCTTGTTGCATCAAATATAAGTTTAAATCATGTTAAAATTGAGTTTTTATTTTTTTTAAAAAATCTTTTGTTGTATTCTAGTATCGAAATAGTATAGTGTTTTATTATAGCCTCGGATAGACAGGATTGAAATAACAAAGGAAAAAAAAGTAAAAGTATTCTTGAACTAAAATGAAATATAGGCTATGTCAAGGATTTTAAAAGCAGGTTTTGTACATTATTCATTGAGTTTAGAGCTTTAGCATTTTCAGAAGTTCAATTGTTTGTATATTTTTCAAGGTATTAATCTTGTCTTAATGTAACATCTTTAAATTTTTATTCGATTTTGATTTAATATATTTTAATATATGTATAGTATAAAATGAAACATCAAATTAAATTAATTTTTTAAAAATAATTTTATGTTTTCTATTCGATCTATGATACAATACTGATACAATAGGAATAAAAAAACTTAGTTCCGGCAGTAGCATGAAGTACACAGGTGAGTCCAATTTGGACTCAATATATTGCTACAAGAGTTGACCTAGCTAATTCCCTATCCTAGAGAAGAAAATTTTCACCGTTACTCAAGGTCTAATTTTTCTTCCATGTCTTTGTGGTTAGTATGGACTAATAGTTTACCAAGTGCTATTAAATAGATCAACATGGCTAACTCTCTCTCTCTCTCTCTCTCTTTTCTTTCATTTTTTGCAATCTTCATTAATTCTTTTTATTCGATACGGTTAGTTTCTGCCCTAGTACGGCAAAGTAGAAAAGGGTTCTACTATATTCTTCGACTTTCCCAAACGTCCTCAGAATTTTGGTAAGGTATGCAAGATTATGTATCCAAACACGTTGACTTTTGAACATTTTTTTTTAACTTTAGTGGACTTTATTGAATGAGTACAATAAAAAGAAGATGAATGGTAGCTCCTTGTAAATTGATATATAATAAAAACTCCCCTCATAAATTCATATCCTCCTAGCTACTGCAAAGAAAATACCATTAACAACTCCACGACTGCAAGAACCTCCTCCAAAATTTAATTATTATAAACAAGTAAAAGGTTGTCTCTGACCTATAGAAGCAATATTTTAACATTTGGATTATTAAGCTTCCTCAACATCCCTCAATTTAATATCACTCAATTTGATAAGACAACAAAATTGAGTTGGCTTGAGTGTTTAAGCACAAATTCAAATGCATATGACACCCTTAATTGCACAACTTGCACTTGATCTAACGGCATAAGATCATGGCTAATTAAAAACCCCAAGAATATAATATGCTTAGAACTTTGAAGAACATGAAGGAGCAGGATTGTCCCTTGTGTTCTAATTGTATTATTAAAGCAAGCAATTTGCGTGGATAGCTGACCAAGGAATGTCCCTCTCATAAATAAATAAATAACAATTAAAAAATTGTCACCAAGTTTTATAGAACTCCCCATAAACTGTCAAACAAACTTCCGGCATTCTCTTTGGCAATCGCGTTTTTACCGGATCTCTTCTTTCCAAAAAATGCTCTCTTTTTCAAGAATTTGCACCATTTTATTAAAATGTTTTCGTAATTATCATGATCATGACCAAACATTCTTTTACCATTAATTAATAATTAGGATGCGTGTGTCCCACACTCAATCCACTGCGTATGTGATGTTGAATCCAAATAAGGTGATGTGAGACAAAATGCATTCCACAGTGGTTCCCTGGTGCTGACAGATCTGGTCCCACCCAGGGTTTTGTACAAGATTCCCACGCGCAGTTACAGCCAGTGTGTGTAGACTCGTACAACGTTTCTACACCTCTAATGTAATCTCTCTCCCCCTCTCCCAAATAGTCTCTCCTCTTTGTATTGTTATTATTCCCTTCAAAATCTCAACCCCTAATCTCTTTATCTCCTGTTCTCTTTTCCTGTCTTTCCTATTTACCCTTCTCTCTATTTCTTGTTTAATTTTCTTTAAATACAACACATATGCATCTTGATTCTTAGTTATTGAAAAAACAAAAAGGAAGGAATGACAGCTCCAAATATGGCAGCAATTACAGCATCTTTGGAGAGGTCTCTTCAAAACTGTTCTCTAAATCACCACCACCATCAAAGTAGTGGTATTTTAGGTAGTCGAAGAGCAGAGAGGTCATCAAGTTCAGATGAGACAGATTCACAAAATCATTTATTACAAAACTCCGATACCTCCTTGGAGCTTAAGTCACATCTCTCTCTTCCTTACCATTGGGAACAATGTTTAGATTTAAAGGTAAACAGACCTGGGCTTTTAGATTTTAAGTCACTTTCTATCTATTATGGTTATAATAAATGCAGATCTTGTATTTGGGTTTCCCTTTTGTTTTGTTGTATGGCGTCTTTTTATTCTTCACTGTCTTTCATTTACTCCTTGTATATAATGCTTTTTTCCTGCTCTCACCTCCTCCCACATGTACACACAGATTAAAAAATAGGGTTTTTTTTTGTTCACGGAAAAACCCCTTAAAGGGGAGTAATATTTGTCTACATTAGTTTTGGTTTTGCCCCCTTTGAATTTATCCTTTTTGGTTTGCATTTCTAGAGTAAATTAAAAAGAGAAATGATCATGTCCAGATTAATTTTGTTTTCTTAACAGCGAATGTTGTTAAAGTAGCAAAGGAAAGTATTTTCAGGGTTTGATCTCTTGTTGGTCTTTGATATCGGGTAGATACATTTGGATGAAGATGGTCTAGACCGAAAAATTGGAAATACGGCGTAGAATATTTTTCCTTTTTTTTTTTTTTTTTAATGTTAATGTCATTGGATATACATAAATGTATATAGGCAACAGGAAAAAAACTTTCTTTATGAATTGATGGTCATTGCTTGTTGCTTGTTGCTTGTTCTTCTTTCTTAAATTATATTCTCATGAATTGTATCTTTGTTTATGGTGTTGCTTTATTATGGGTGTAAAAATGCAGACAGGAGAGATATACTACATAAACTGGAGGAATGGAATGAAAGCAAGAGAAGATCCAAGGGTCGCACAAGAATACAATGGAGATTTCTACTCAGAAGACGACAGCTCATATGATAGCGAGGAGTCATCATCAGAATCCTCCCCTTCTTCCTCAAGAGACCATTATAATAATAGACTAGAGAAAGAAGACCATGTCTTGGTTGTGGCTGGTTGCAAGAGCTGCTTTATGTATTTCATGGTTCCCAAACAGGTGGAAGATTGCCCTAAGTGCAATGGCCAACTTCTTCACTTTGACAGATCTGAAAATGGGTCACCCTGAATCAGTTTTCCTTGTTTGATTCTTTTTCTTTGTTTCTATGGGTTTTTTTTTCCTTCCAATTTCTAAAACTCATTTGTATGCTTTTGATAGAATTTCAATATGTGATGATCATGAAATGCGTGACAAATGAGTTGTTATTACGTAATAGTATTCTCCCAGATCTTTCTTTCTTCTTCCTTGCTTTTTTTTTTTTTTTTTTGTTTGTTAATTTTTATCCATTGCTTTCATTACTAAGCCATTGAAATTGCTGAAGAGTCCTTAGTGCCCAGTGGCAAGATTAATATAGAAGAAAGAAAAAGTTTTTTGTTTAATGATTTTGTCTTGTAGCTTTCCTCCGTTCTCTTTCGTTTTCTTTTAATTTTAATACCAGATTATTCTTTTAACATTGTTAAGAGATCATTCTTTTAATGCACTGCATGCTATTAATATTTGTTTTGCTTTGTATAATTTTCTGTATTTCTACCATTAGTATGCAAAACTGCTAGCACATCGGAGTCATAGTTTATTAGTTATGTCAAGCTTCTTGTTTCAAGTTAAATTAAAAGAAAAAGAAAACAAAATATTGTTTACGTTTGATTGTTTCCAGATTAATAGTACGGGATAAAATCATCAGCAAATATAGTATAAGGCTTTCAGTTTGATGAATCTTTAGCTAGGCCTTCCCGTACACCTCCTCCTAATGTGACCATATACGGCAAAGTTGCAACATTAACAATGTTAGGAGGATTCTACACGGGATAACTTCGTGGAGTTTATACACACACACATTTGCATTCTAAACCGAGATTCTAAAATGGTTCCCCACAAAGGTGCATATATATTGCTTGTGTTGAAAAAAAGAATAGGTAGTTTTCTGTACTAATTTCTAACCTGTGTGGTAAATAGAAAATAGGGAGAAACATTAATCTATCCTTATATTTTAAAAGTTGTCTCTAACATGTCTTTGCTTTTTTAATAGCCTCTGTACTATCCAAATTTATGACAGAATTTCTGATAATTCCTTACCCTTACAATTAATGTGTCATCAAAATTAACAAAATTTAGCAATTTATTTGCGGATAAGTTTATAACAAATCTTCTTAGACCAATTATCCTCATTTTTTTCATAGGCATGATTTTCCAATTTAAATTTTATGAAATTTTTATTTTCTGAGTTCAAGTTTTTCTATGTTCTACATAAAATCTATTTCTTTCTTGAAAAAGATTCTTAATGTGATCTTTCCATCCGTTTTCGTCCAATTTAACATCAATTTTTGACATGTGCTCCGAAATGTGCTAGACACTTGTTTATTTTCTCCAAAATGTTGTAAAAAATTAACGGTAAATTGGACAAAAATTAGATAGGGAAACTATCTTAAGAAATTTTATTGACTAGAAAGACCAATTAATTAAGAGCAAATTGTAATTTGAATGTCTAATTTTTTATTTTTATTATATTTGAGCGTTCACTCGTTAAATCTTTTTTTTTTTAAGAGTTCAAGTTTTGATTTTTTTTTTATTTGAGTATCCACAATCAACTAAAACTATAAAATATTGATGTGTTTGGGATGAACTATCATGTGACAATTTTTAATTAATACATGGAAAAAGTAGGTTTCACTTGAAAAAAAAAACTAATATTTGAGTGTTCAACCTTTTATTCTATCTATTTGAGTGAGTACCCAACGTTTTTTTTTCTATTTGAATATTTTTAGTTACTTGAGACTAAAAAATATTAATTTAGTCGGGATCCATTAACACACAATAATCTTTAACCGATATGTACGTGGCAAAAAAAAAAAAAAAAGTCTCACTCGAATTTATTGAAAAAAATTTATATAGCTTTTGTAAATAAATAAATAAAAAATAGTTGACAAGAATTAAAAAAAAAAATCAAATTATTTACTCGTTAGCCTAATGAACTCAAATTGTTTAGATGATCTAAGGTTAAAATTCTTATATTTGACAAAAAAATATTTAGATAATGATATCTTGAAAGCATTTTAAGCAATTTATCAGCAAACTTATCTACTTCATCTAACTAATAGTAGTTAATTTTGATTTTTTTAATTCTTTTCAGCTTTTTTTTTTATTATTTAAAAGTTTTATAATTTTTTTCTCAATAAATCCAAGTGGAACACTTTTTTGTCATGTGTTAGTGGAACTACACCATGTTAATATTTTTCAGTCTCAAATGCTTGAATGAACTCAAAAATATATATATATATATATATATATATATATTGGACGCTCGAATTGCAATTTTTCTTTTTAATTTTTTTTAATCAGTTTAAGTAGGATATACTTTTTTCATGTACGAGATAAAAACTCTCAAATAGTAGTTTATCTCAAATACATTAATATTTTTCAGTCTCATGTGATTGTGAACACTAAAATAGAAAAATAAATCAAAGTTTGAGGACGTAAATAGAAGGATTTAATAATTAGGCACTCAAATTGTATTTTTTTCATTAATTAAAAAAAAAAAAAAGGAGGAACCACGTCAAGAAAATATCAAGACTAAAATAACCAAATAAACGATTAGCGCTATTTCTACTTATTATATTGAGAAAATATGTTGAATTGATGCTGCTCTCCACATCTTATTTTAGTTCACAACATGTAGTTCAGGCCTTCAAATTAAAAGTCTGAAATAACTTAGGCGTCTTTAATTCAGAGGACTTATTCACATGAAAGAGAATTATAGAAGGGCACATAAGCGTAGGACAATCGATCTTGTTAATGGGCTTTAATAAATCGGTGGTAAAGTTCTATCTATTAGGCTCAATCAGTTTACAAATTTTAAAATATTACAGAAGTAATTATTGTATATTTATAATAATTATTTTATAAATTTATTTTTTAAGAGAAAAATAGATAAAAAGAGAATTACATTCATATCTATTAAATATGTTAATAATATTTTTATTTCGGCTCAAATTTTCTTTTTAAAATTTTCTCTTTCCTTTTTTTTTTTTTTTCCCTATCTATCTACCTCTTAAAGAATAAGTATTAATAGTTATTCTATAGGTAATATAAAATTTCTCATTGCCCAATACCATCCATGATAAATAATCAAGTTTTATAGTGGGGAGATAGATTTTAGACAGAGCTTTGGTAGTATGAAATCTTGGCATATTCAAGGCTTTATCTTCAAAGTGGATTTCAAAAAAGCTTTTGACTCGGTTGTGTGGAATTATCAGCTGCAGGCTTTAAATCAGGGGTTTGGAAAAAAATCACAGGTATAAAGTTCTTTATGTACCTCCCTCCACCTCTAAGCTGTACGTCCTAATTAATGAAACTCCTGCCGCTGAATTTCAAGTTACAAAAGAAATTAGACAAAGGGATCCTTTATCTCCATTTCTTGTTTTACATAGCTAGTGAAGAACTTTTAATGCTCCTAAGTCGTGCTGTAGAGAGTGGTATCACTTTTTGCCTTTCGAATCCTAAAGCTTTTTTAACGGTTAAAAGAATTTTGCGTTGGTTTGAGATGTGTTTATGTCAAAGGGTGAATTCTCATAAGAGCTCATTTGTTGGGACTAATGTGAATGACGGTTTTAGTGAAAGCATGGCTGCCATGCTACGCTGTAGAGTTGGGACATTGTCATTTAAATATTTAGGTCTTCCTTTAGGAGCAAGTCTGTTTGTCAAATTGGAAAGGTTTGAGGAGCATAAGTTCAGTATACATGGGTCAGGATCAGTGTTCAAGGTGTCAAACCAAAATCTCAATTCAAATATTTAATAGAGCGGTGAGATTTTAACTTATGACTTAATTAACAAGACTTTGATACCATGTCAAATAACTATTTCAATCAAAAAAATTAAGTTGTTAGACGAGGCTTGTTATGGATTATTAACATACTCAAATAAGCAACAAACCCAATCGAATAGTGGAATAAAGGGTAAGAAAGTATCTTTCCCACAAGGAATTAAATTACTCTACTAAGATTGTCTAACTTATAGTAAGTTGAATTAATCAAAACAATAAAGAATATGAAAACGAAATTAAGAATCGATTCTAAATTTGTAGAATTGAAATTTACTATTAAGATGATATGAAAGTAGCTAGGGATAGATTCATTTAATTTCAACTCGTGCAATTAACTAATTTAACTCAACTCACGAACCACCTTGCAATCTATTGTAATATATGTGACGACGAAATCTCTTAACAAGTTAATGGGTCATCTCTAGTCGGATTAACCCTACTCTTCACCTAACAAATCATCCATATTTCTATGTGAGTTAAATTAAGATCTAAGTGCAAGAGAATAAATGGAATCCTTTAATGTGAGATGAGTATGCCATCACACACTTCTCTCTTCCATTATAGCACTAAAAGTAATTGCCTTTGGACTTAATAGCAAACAAGTGATTTGTATTGCTATGATCTAACACACACATACTTCCCTCTTGAGTTCAAGCACATGTCATTGAATCAATAAGAGGTGATCAATCTCTTATAGCATTAAACGCAAACAATATAAATTCATCATACATCAAGAATCAAGATTTGAGTTAAGAAAAATAATTAATCACATAGATAAAGAATTAAAATCATCCAATCCTAGCTTAAGAGTTTAACTTTCCATAACAAAGTTTTTGTAATCTAAAATAGAGAATTTTTCTAATTGGTAATGCATCGAATAAGAACCGAAAGAATTAAGAAACAAACTCAATTACTTGTCTATGGAAAATGGTTTGCTCTCGCATCATTCTATTTCTTTTTCTCCGCTCCTACCTTTTGAATTGTTCTTCAATTTTCTTCACACCTTTCTACCATCCAAAGTCTCTTCCTTTTATAGCCTATTACCCAAAACCACAAACAGACCCCAAGAGTCCCTCTCCTAAACAAACCCAAAAGTCCCCTTTAGAATAAAAAAAATATTGGCTATTTAACATATTCAAGTCTCGTAACTATACTTTTGTTTCTCTTTAATCCTTGTTTCTAGTTTTTATTTTTTTTCAGTCCTTGTTTTGTCTTACTTCTTTAGTTTTCTCTTGATTCCTTCTACTTACAA